TCAGTGATTTCCATCTGTATCTACTTGGATACAATTTCCTTTTAGGGATCACAGTATCTCACTCAGTAGGCAGTCATGCATTTGAGCGATTTTGACATGTCAAAACTGCTTATATTTGGTATTGACTGCTGCACTCTTCTCTGCATACCAGTAAGGTCTAGTCTTTGTGGTCTTCAGGGGGTTGCTTTAAAGGACAACCCTAGGCCCCACAGGTATTGCCAGCTCCATAAATACTCACCCTACTCAATGAAGAAACTGCAAGCAGATGAAATAAGAGGGGGTTAAAAAGCACGATACCTGATGAGGGAGGAGATTTTTTTGTGCTGTCACCACAGCAACAGTGAAGTGCGTGGGGCAGGCRGGAAGACAGCCTAGAGATGTGTTTGAAGCACCATAAATGCCGGGTTTGCTCTAAGCTCTGGAGCTCCAGCTATACATTGAGGTCGAGACCCTTCAATGGGAAGAGTGTTTTTCCCCCTCTTCAGTTCTGTCTTCTCTCTCTTCACCTATAAAGCCAGGAGAAAGTCTGAAAATTAATATGTTGTAGTGCTGCTCTGTGCTCATGGGCTTTTGGAAGCCACAGGAGTGAAAATGCTTCTGTCTCTTTAAAATGGTGTGTGATATTTTGTGCTGTGCCTGCTGCTGAACGTGAAGTTATTTGAGTGAACAGAATAACTTCTTGCGTGCCGAGGTGTGAGGTGACCTCATTATTCTCAAATCTCTTTCTGTTTTGCAGTGCTTTTTCCTCCTCTCTACCCTTTCAGCTGCTCTGGTGTTTATATTTCTGCTCTGGCTGTGTAACAGAATTTTTTTTTTGATGTCACAGTCATGGCAACCCCAGTTGGTTAACTGAGACAACCTGGCAGAGATTTAGCTGCTCATAGGTGAGAYAGTAACAGAGTAAAACTGCAGCAGGTTTGTGGCTTAATGAGATAAAACTTGGCATCTGCCCCTGCTTATTTTGGTAAAACATCCAGTTGAGGTAACTTAGTTGTGAATCACCAGGATGTTGGTTAACAGGAGAGATGCTTCGTTCCAACAGAGAGTTCTGGCAAAGGCTTTCAAGGTCACCTTGTCTTTGTCTGCACCACATCAATGCTTCAGAGAGGTGCCGTGCTGAAAGCACTTGATAAATTGAGTGCTCTGCTTACCCTCAGACCAGCTCAGCGTGGGGAGATGATGCTTCACAATCCATGCTCGCTCCTGAGGAAAGCTGCACATCCCCTCGGAGTCTCTGAGGAGAGCCCAGCAGTGTTGCTTGAGAGCTCCTGTTATTCCCTCAGTGTAGTTCCTGAAGGAAATGGTCTGTCTAAATACACATCCCATCTTTTACATCCTTAGTTATCATTCTGAAACTTCCTGGCTTCTCCTGGAGTGATTTTTGCCCAGTTTATTATATTTCACTGTCCTTTAGGTGGTTTCTCTTACTAGCTTCAATATTTTCCGCTAACTTTATGTAGCTCGGAGAACTTAACTGGTAACCTGGACTTATTTAACCAGCAGGTAAGTCTGATGGCTGAACATGTTTCTTGTGTGAAAGTCTGGCTTCCGTTCTGAATATAATCTTGCACCAGTAATAACCTGTAATGCCTCAGACTTAAGGTAATGCGTAATAGAAGAAGAAAGTACATTTTGTTACAGTAAACAAGAAATAAACATTGATATCTAAAAATATGTATGGAAAGGTCTTAGCTGTTTTGATTGCCCATCATCTCCAAAATAAGTCAAGTTGAAATATGAACCCAGCCAAACTGGTGAGAGAACAAATTCCAGTTTGGCATCAATTAAAATATTTCTGAACATATGTTTATGAATTCTCATTATTGCTGCTGCTTCTAGCACCAATTTCAAATGTGCTATCTTTCCTGCGTTACGGATTTTAGAAAAGCTGCTTCAGGATTTTCCAGCTGCCTTCAGTTGAGCAAAATGATGAATTTAAGTTTATTGTCATGGCTAAATCCTATTGAAAACCTATGAAGAAGTTCTGAAGATGCTCGACTCATTCCTTGAGGTTTCCTGAACATCATTCTTAGATTATTTTTTCCCAGAGGTACCTCCAAGATTCTGGACAAATGAAAATCTGCTTCCCAGCCTCGCCTGCGAGATTSTTGATCTATGCTACGTTTTTTTGATTAACCTCAGATCTGTGGAGCACATGTGGAAACAGAGGGATAGCCGGAGAAAAAAGGGCTTCGCAGAACCCCTGTGGAGAGGCTAGGCCCACTCATAAGGTGATGGGATAGAGAAAATGTGCCTGGAGCATGTTGCCTCTACCTGGAGTATGTGAAAATCCACTCTTTTTYAGGGAATCTTTCAAGGAAGCCAAAGGAAATGCTTTAGTGGAGCTGCATAATCTAGACTACAGGTGGGGTGTTTGTCTCCTTTTCAGGTGCGATGCGTGTCACTTCCATGTCCAGCAACAGAAATCAATTATTCTGTGCAGAAGGAAATGTAAACCTTTTAAATGGCTATTTCATAACACACTTCAACTGTTAAAACCTACCTTTGTGTGAATCAATGGAAGGGAAAAAAGCCTTTCTTCTCTCTTTAAACTTTGACCATACAGAGAATTTACTCAATTTGCCCTTCAGTGCTCCTTTATTTAATGCTTTGTTATGTAAGAAAAATTTACGTTTCAACTTTCACCCCTGCTTAAATACCTAGTCAGAGAAAGGTGGTGGCATTGGTGACAAGCAGATGCAGGGAGGGGATAGCCGTTTCTAACCCTTTGACATAGAGGACTTGTCCACCACTGCTTTTCTTGTCTCTTGTCTGAGTGGTTTTGTGCCTCAGTTGCTGTTGCAGAAAGTTATTTGATAACCTTGTGGGATGATTAACACTGTGCTTATTGTCCCTGATGTGGGGATTGTTTCAGCTGACCTCATCATTCAGACAGCGATACCAAATCATTGGCTAAAATGGAAAAAAAATGGTGCAAAATTTGAGTATGACTAGATGCTTCTAAGAGCTAGCTCTTGGCATTTGCCCCTTTTGGTATTGGAATGTTCATCTGTTGTTTTCCAAATTGAATCTACACTGTGGGGTTCAAGATGATGAAACTGCAAAAGAATTGGAGAGCTGCAGAATGTCTCCAGAGAAGCAGCCGCACTTGCATCCATAGATCAGCTGATCTGGTGAATTATTTGTTTTAGGGAACCTCCTTCCCTCCATCGCTGAAACTGAGGAAGCAGTTCTTCTAGGTGGGTCAAAATGCCATGCATTTTGTCAGACCAGAGTAGTTTTTCATTTTCTTTCTTCTTTTTTTTTTTTCTTTTTTCTTCTCTTTCCTTTTTTCTTTATTTTTTTCTTTTGGCTCTTTTTAATTAAAAATGAAACTGGGTGAAAGTCATTCAGCTTCCGAGAAAGTTTCATTAAAGAAATAAAATGTATCCCTGAAGACAGAAGTCCCTAAAGTCACTATTAAACATAATCAAGATAAATCTGCGGAGAATTTGGTGCATGATACCTCAAAAGGCAGAGCTATAGTAGAATTATTACTCCAACTTTTTGGTCATGATCTCTCTTTTTATCTTCATCTCTTATATTCACTTCCATCCCGTTTATCTGCCTGTGTTTTGGGGGAGTGASGGGCAGTGTGTACATATCTTCAGAACTTAGCAATTGAGGCTACTGAGCAGCCAGGATTTGTTTCTCCAAATAAGCTGTGTTTAATTGACCTTGCAGAGAGATTCAAGAAATCATATCTTACTGAATGCAGTATGTGCAATGGATTAATTAAAATTCACCTCTATTAAGGACTTTTTCTTTCTTAGTTTGAAAGTACCCACCATTGGTTTGCAAATGCCAAGAGCCTCTGATTAAACCATCAGATGAACTTGTTTTGCTTTCACATTAAGAAGATACCAACTCTCTGATAGACCCTGTTTTTTGAGCAGAGCACTTTTTGGTTCARACACCTTCTGGGGGTTAAGGTCATTTTAGCCCTTGTGTTGATTTTTTTTCTTTGGGTAAAACCTGTAAAATAGATAATATTAAACATAGTGAAAGACTTGAAAAGAGGGCACTGAAAAGGAATATTCTGTACAGGATTTTACTACACTAGAAGCTATTTGGGTCCTGGGAGAGGTGAAAATTAGACCACTTATTTATATGCCAGGTCTAGGAGCCAAGCTCTAGAATACGTTATTTTTTCCTTAGGTCATATTTGCAGAGAGCTTTTCATGGAAGACTGAATCCTCTGCGACAGGAGCTACTGAAGCCCTGCGGGGTATGATCCAGAACACAGAGAAGTGCTTTGGTTCAAATTGTGATGTTTTTAGAACTACATAGTGGAGTCTTTGTTAGGTTTTCTATTCAGAATTTCCTTGCTTTCCTAAAAGAAACAACAACGATGCCATTCCTTCTACATAGTTAATGTTTCAGGTTCATGGTACTAGAGGTTGCTTTAGAAAAAGTGAGCGCCTAGCACAATTTTTCTTGGAAAATAGAAGCCCTCAGCTCTCAAGATTTCATTATTGGCATTTAATTCCTCTTGTAAAGTTGAAAACATAGCTGATAACTAATGACTGTGTCTTTCTGCCTTTTTAAAATCTGCTGGTGCTGGTTCACAGCACCYGTGAGGAGACGGTTCAGATGTGCCTGTTGCCCTTGTGGAGAAGGTAAGGCGTTGGGGCCTCCTGGCTGGGGAAGTCTGTAAACTGTATAAAAGTAGCGGTATAAATTAATGCATCAAATGAATGTCACATGAAACGTCAGCCAGAAAGTCTTATTGATCAATCTGCAATCACCTTGACTTTTCCTAGCTAAAGCCTCATCAGCACTTTTTCCCTGGAAATACTGTTTCCCTGGAAATACGGCTTTAGGAAGTGTTCAATAAAAGCAGTGTGTGGAAATACATGCTCAGCTTGGTTGGTAAGGCTGTTCCTGCGGGTTTATTTTTTTCATTACAGCCTGTCCTTCAGAGTTCTCTTAAAACCAACAAAATGTACCAAGCAAATTCTTCTCTTGGGTGATTTTCACAGCTTTTGTTTCTTCCTCAGAGAAGATCAAGTCTGGAGTTTCTCTGACTTCGTCTGAAATTGTAGGGATGATCAATTTGTTTAAGAAACCTTGTAAGTACTTGACTGATTCTGTAGCGTATGGAGCACATGATGTCCTGTCATTTGAAAGCTCGTTGTGAATTTTTTGTGGCTTTTTCTGGAACACTTGGAGCGGGGAGCTGGCTGAGGGGGAATGTGCTGCGCTTTTTGTCTTCAAGCAGGAGCTGCTGCTAATTTTGTGTGTGCTGCTTTCGTCCATTTTTATGGGAGCTGTAATAAACAGCATGTGTGTGAAACGGAGTCAAAGGCAAACCAGAGAGCGGGTTCAGTGGCTTTGCAGGTAATTCCCTGGAGCATCACTGGGAGATATCTGCATGACGGGGAAAATTGACTTCCCCTAGTTTATGATTCTTTTCAAATACAAAGTTTTTCCTTACCTGTTGTGATGGTCCTTTTAACTTATGAGAGTTTAGAATTGATGGATTTGAATTTTGAAGTAATATTAAAGTATGTGTTCATGAAGGACAATCCTGATTATTTTTCAACACTGCCAAAATGCTTTTTATTGTAGTTTTAATGTGAATGATTTTTTCTGTATTTGTTGTCAAATATTATCATCTTTTAGTTGCACTGATACTAACTTACGTTTATTTCTTGTAAAGGGATTTACAGAGCTTATTTGACAAACTCAGTATTAATTTAAATGAAGCAAATGGACTCAAGCAGTATTAAATTTGTACCTGTGTGTAAATATGAAGCATGGGGTGAGCAGCGATGCTGCCTCAATGTAGTGTCCTGTCCACCGTGGTGCTGTTTTGGGGGCTGAGGGAGGAGGGGGTTACCAAATTGTTTCTAATGTACAGGATTTGCTTTGAACTTAAACCAAAGGTTATTACATTAACACAACAACAGCTGGTCAATAGGCCTGTCTCAATTCGGAAATAAATAGTATCTGTTTCCATTAGAGTGTATGACGTTCCACACAAGGTTGTGGGACTGGCAAGAGCATCAAGAGGGAGCAGGGCTCTTGCCTGATTCCCTGACTGCTGACTGCAAAAGGCAGCAAAGCCCAGGGTAACTGGTGGCTGGGCCAGGCTTTCTGCCAGGGAGATAAAGGAGAGATAAGGGAATACAGTCAATCCCTTTTCAGCAAGTTATTTAATCAGCTGTAATTAGGCATTTAAGGGATGGAAGAAGTAAGGAGACTTACTTAGCACTGTTGAGGAATTCACGTGGGAAGGAGAGGCAGAAGTGTTTGAAATACCTGGCTAGCTCCCTGTTGTCATCTGTTAATCATTCACACGTCCCTTTCATTTGTATTTTGTTGAGAGCAGCAGAGTAGGCTTGAAAATATAAAGAAGCCCTTAACTTCCTTTGGGAGAGAGTGGGAGTACAGCGTGTCCATTCAGTACGAGGGAAGGAATTTACTTGTGTGAAGTCTTGAGACTTTTTTAGTTTTCTTTTTGTAGGCAACTTCACCAGTGGAATGGTGGGAAGGACACTGCTTTTCTCTTATGTGGCATTCACACTTGTGTTAACTGTTATTAGCTGTTATATAACTAAGCTACAAATTCCAGAGCTGGATTTTCCCAGAATCTAGTGCCTAGTTTTAGAAAAACACTAGCTGTAACCTTACCATGAGATAAATGGAGCATCCCTGTCTTGTCTTATCCTGGTTTTTGTGGTGGATCATTAGCGAGCACTGCTGTAAGGACTTGGAAATCTCTGGCAGCTGTGGAGGGAAGTTCTTGCTCGCTGCCACATCAGGACTCTGAAGGGAAACCTGTGACCACAGCCACTTTCTACCTCACAAGATAAAGAGCCGACTAAAATACATGTGTTTCCTGTGGGTATCAGAGTTCTGTGGGTGAGATTTGAAGTAGAAGAGTAGAGGGAAAGTGGCAGCCTCTTCTAGCTGAGGAGAGCAGTGATAATTCAGTGTGCATTGGCTGTCCTGTTTGCGGGAACATGCATCTGTGCTAGGATTTCATTTTACCTCCATTTTCTGACCCTTTTCTATTCTAGAAAGTTTTTCTTTTCTATCTATCATGGGCTTCGGCACTCCCTCAGGGAAAGCAGCTTTTTCTCTCAACTTGGTAGAGAGAATTTTGAAAATATTATGATGTTAAAATATTGTTTCTATTGTCTTGGGATATTTGTTCATTTCTTATCACTTAAGAGTACAATCGAAGAGGTGTTCGTAAGAATTTGCAGAAATCCCAAATGTGATGGCATAAACATGGATGCATCCACAAGTACTCTAGATAGCATGGGAGTCTTTTTATACTTTTAAGAACGTGAAGTTTTAACAGCTCCTAGGTGGAGACAGCCCCTAACTGGGTAGCTCAGTGCTTTATAGGGAAGGTCTTCATTACATAGCCTTGCTGAGATTGCTTCCTAGGGCCCTTCTTTTGCACTGCAGGACCTGGCTGCCCATCCCCACAGGTCAGGCGTGGGTTTCAAATTATTCCCCTGTAGCTCCATCAGACTCTGCTTTTGGAAGTGGGACACTGGGCAAGGTGGAGTTCCTGTCTGAATGGCCATGTGATGCCTGCATTACATTCTTACTATTATAAAACAACTTATGCTTCATAGGCTGCAATTACTCAGAACCTTTTGCTTTAATGTACACACGAAATTATACTGGTAGTAAAATGCTTCCTGAAATGATAGGAGGTCTCTGCCCAGTGCAGTTGGGAGACTTCCCTGTTTCACTGGTTTCCTGATAAATAGCGAAATTAAAACCTGTCTCCTTCCTACAAGGATGGAATCTCTCCATGTTTTTCTTTTCCCATGGCAGACGACCTTTATTTTTTCTGGAATGTTATTTTACTAAATGATGTGTTCTCTTCACACCAACTACAGAGCAGAGCGCTGCCCAAGTATTTCCCAGTCTTGCCCAAGGCAGGAGTGACCCCCCGTTCCAGAGGCACATTTTTCCCCGCTGACTATGCGGATAATAGCAGGATGACTCTACAGAGGGGACTTGGGAGATCCTGAAGAGCAGGTACAAGCAAACGTAACCTGAGTGGTGGCACGGTGCAGCGAGGGCAGGGCAGACGTGCAGCAACGTCAGGTCCTCAAAACTTACTGGCTCTGCAGAGAGCCCGTTTCGGCAGAACGGAGCTGGGTCGGGCAAGGCTGCTCGGGAGGCTGTGCCTTGGGCTTCAGCACCCTGGAGGGCTAATTGCTGCCTTGCTCTTGCTTTGGATCTTGAAACAGAGGTTATAATGTTTTCCATTTGAAAAAAAAAAAAAAAGAAAAAATCCCTGCCCCCTTCTATGGACACTCCTTTTGCTTGGGGCCATATAGTGCTGGTGACTTCTCTGCATAACTTGCCCACGACTGGTGTCTCTGGAGCTGCTGCTTGGGATTCCAGTCATGCTGGGACGGAGCTTTGTGTTCCCACTGAGGTTTCCAAGTGCGGTGCTGAGAACTCCTTTAACCAAGAAGTCTGAGGGCTTTTCTACAGGTAAATTTTTCAGTATAGTGGTTGGAATCACTAGCTGTATAAGTAGACAAAATGTGATGCTTCAAGGTTGCAGTATAGATTGCCTACTTGTGATTATTCAGAGATGTAAGGTCTCACAGGTGTTTTCACTCTCTTTCCTTCAGCCTGGATTTAAACTTCCAGTCTTTTGGCTGAGAGGCTTTTGGCCTCTTTCATGCAGCGCAGGTGATGCCAGTGGGAGGAGGTGCTGCTCTCAGTGCTGCCAGGCTAAAATGTTCCCAGCTGTGGAGCTTGTGCCCAGGTACCAGCCACACCAACGTGCAGGCGGCCAAGGCACCTCCGCGAAGGAGAGCCACAGGGAGACAACCTCTTTCATCCTCTATCCGCTGTCCCTCGCCTCCTCACCCTCAATGCTTTATTTAACTAAAGCTAAGGAACACATTGTCCTGCCTTCTTGGAACAGCTTAGTAATAAGCTTGTGTATTTTTAACACCTATTTAATTATTTTTTGTTAAAGTAGTGGAATCTTATTGCTCTCCTTGGTCATCTTATTTCCATTCTGTTTGGGTAAGCAGTTATCCAGGTTTTACTTTAGCATACACTTGGGCTTTGAGCTGCAGCGTGGGTGATGCCTTTAGAGGATTCAGCTTAACACGATCAAAAACTCGTCTTTGAACCACATGTCTGACTGTGGTTACAGAACTGTCGCTTTTGCTTTGTTTTGCCTTTGAAGGTTGAAGCAAGTAGCACCCATCTTCCTTTTAATGAAATGGAGTTTCAATTCATGTATCACAAATATGCAATGCCAGGTAGCTATTGTGTACTTTGCAGTTTCTCCCCAGGTTTGCCAGTGAGCTGCAGTTTGCCGTACCTGAGAGACTTCCCTCTCAGCAATGCTGAGCGGCTTTGCTCACGTTAGCTCTGTATTTGCTGGCATGTTGTAAAGGCAGCGRATCCTGAGGCAGTACAGCACCTTATTTGTAGCTGGTTAATTTTCAGTTTACAATTTGAAATACTTAAACTTGAAATTTGTTTGTGCAAATCAGCCAGAGAACAGATGCATGTAAGAACAGATAAACAGAGCAGCTCGAATAGCATTTACTGAGAGTAACACACACATATTGTGAAGATTCATATCCTGGCATATAAAGACATGTCTCTGCTTTTGGGCCTGCAACAGCTGATAGATCAAACCTGAAAGCTGGGAGAAATCAAGGTTTATTTTGCCATTTTAAGGCATATTTGCATTGCTGTTTCCCATTTTATTCTGATATAGGCAGTGAAGCATTTTGCAGTTTAACTCCAAATAATTTTCAGTAAAAGGATAATGGTTGCACTCTGTGCTTGAAAATCCTCGCTATAAATATTACTTTTCCCATTCTTTTTGTCATGATTAAAATGACTGCCCATAGTGCAAAGCTGCTACTACTGTTGTTTTCGTGCTCAGCTTGACAAATCTTTTGGAGCGATTTGGAAGACTTCAATATCCAGGGAATGCACACTGGATTTGCTCTGTGACGCTCAGCAATATCTCAGCCTCCAAATGCATTAGAATCACAGAACCTTTATGGTTGGGAGCGACCTTCAGGAGCATCATATACAACTGTAGATGCAAAACCCT